CACATCAGAATAACCTATAGCCCAATGGTTAGAGGTAGGTGCTCCCAGTTCAAATTCTCTCCCCCTCCCCACCAGGGAGGGGGGAATTGAACCTGTCTCTCCCACATCCCAGGTGAGTGCTCTAATCACTTGGGAAAAAAGCAAAAGATGGGCATTACCACCACCACCACATCCTCCTCTAGCCATTTTGTGTAGAGCAAGGGAGGTGCCAAAGTCAGGAGAAGGGTTCCTGGTCATGGATCACTAGCAGTGCTAGGCACCTCCCTGAAGTCTGGATTAAGGGACCTATCCCTGAGAGAGGGGTAGGGCTTAGCACTTTGGTGGCTCCCTACTTAGGGTGCTAGCTATGCAGATTGCAGTCTAAGGCACCTTCCCCTTAGCATATGCGCAATGTGCCTCAGATGGCACGTGACCAGGATTCATCACTATATTATGATTATATTATAAATTTGGTCTAAGGCACCTCTCTTTCCCCATTCATTGGATAACGAACCTAGGTGCCTAAGTTGGTTTTGTGGATCACAGTGTTATTCCTGTCATTTTGTAGGTATCTAAAAGTTAGGTGCCATGATGCTCAGTGTTGCAATGCCTAAGTCCCTTTGTGGATTTGACTGAAACACTAGAGCAGGACAAAGGAGATCTGCATTCAGTTACTTGCTCTGCCACTGACTTCCTGTGTAACTGTGGGCAAGTCACTTATTCTCCCTGTTCCTCAACTGTGAAATGGGGATTTATAATACTCCCTTTCTCCCACCCACCCTTTGTCTAGTTAGGTTGTGAACTCTCTAGGGAGGGGCTGTCTCTTCCTAGGTGTTTGTGCAGCATCTAGTGCACTAGGGCCCAGCTCACATTTGAGGCCTCTAGAAGCTGCTCTAACAATTCAGTAGAAGTGCCCACATGCAAACAGGAGGGTGCTGGTGGTCAGGCATTTTAAGTGAATGATCTTCAGTTCTGGAATTTACTACGCTCATCGGGCTGACAGAGACCAAATTTACTGAATGCCTGGGCATGCTGCAAGGCCTATCACCCAAACTCTCCCTGGGGGAGCGGGCTGGGAAGCTTTGCTAGGGAGCTAATGGGAAGAGTCATAGGCATTGAGCCAATCATGATCTTAAATTGACTTGCACATGTACCTTGAGCTTTGCAACACTTTAAAAATCTGAATAGGCACATAAATGTATCGAAGTGTATTGGCTGATCCCGTTTGACTGAGATTAGTGGATAAGGCTCACATAGATGGGAGAAGTTCTTTCCCTGTTTGTTTACGATAATGGAATCACACTTAATCTGTAGTCAGTGGGCGATATGGGTGCTTTCACAATCAGAGCCATAATAAAGCCAGTTTCACATCTGGAGAAACAAGTAGGCAGTTGGCTACAGCTCAGCTTTGTTGCCTGTATAGTTAGTACAGTAGCTCCTTACTCTTCTATGCCAGGGCCCTGTAAAGTGCACTTCTGTATTTTATTTCAATCTGGAACCATTACAGCTATTTATCCATCTCTGGTGAACTACTTCATTTATTGCTTCACATGGATTCAGTCTGGCATGACGGATGATCTCAACTGCATCCTGTACACTGTGGGAGCTGTCACAATGCTACTGCAATGAGCTTTCAGGAGTTGAATCCCTGAAAGCCTTATTGTTTCTGTAAGGGACAGCAAGTAGTGCCTCTCCTCCCACTATGCTGCAGAAAGACTATATGATCATCCTTGCTGTATTGACTGACTGCTCCTGTCAAATCATGGGGCCAGCTTTATTTTCACCTTTTTATAAATAGCTCTCTTGTGCTTGAGAAACAGCATCTCAGGCCCTAGCTTGTTGGGGAGGGAAAGAGAGACAGTTACAGCTACATTTAGCTGCTGATCCTATAATTCCTGAAAAAGTGCTGACTTCTTGTAGATTGAGGACTTTGGCTGACACTTGACATCCCAGATAAAATAGCGGTCAACTCTACCCATCTCCTCTGTTCTACACCCACAAGACCAGATTTCAACTGCTGTAAATTAAGACAGCTTCATTAACCCAGCCCAGATTCATTTCACTAAGACTCATCTCTGAAAAATGATTGTAAAATAGTATTTCTGCTTTTATTGCCCTGCAATGCTTTTCAGATAAATGAGCTTGGTTGAGAGGACAGGTTGATATCTTCTCTAATTGCCAGCTCACCAGGCTCATCTTAGGCTCTGAGAATCAAGCTGGGTGCTGCCCATCACATTATCACCAGTAATAAAGGACAAATTAGGGCCATGGAGACTACTGTGCAATAATTGCCTCTGGAAGTTTGCACAGCTATTACTGGCTGGAACTTAAACAATGACATCCATCCCATTAAATTGTGCTGGCTCAGCCAGGCTATTAGAAAGGAAAAGCAGCAGAAATGTTTGTCACTAAACTTGATGGATCTGATTCTGAACAGACACAAGGAGCTGATGGGTGTAGCAAGAAGGTACCATTTTTCACAGTCATTTTCCAGAGCACAGCCACACCTCAAGCTGCTTTCAAAGAGCATTTCCACAATACATGCAGGCCCATGCTAAACTCTCATCTCTTAACATCTTCAGTGCTAGGGGAGTGGGCTGGCTAAAGTGCTGTAAATGATTTCCAATAAATGGCTATTTAGTGACCTCATGCCCACTGTTGCAATTAACACAACTTGGTGCTTTGAGCAGAGTGGCCAAGGGTTATGTGGGCACTGATTAATTTAAATAGCCCCCAATTCCTATCCCTAGCACCTTTTAATCAGGGTTAGCACATTATTAATAGGGGTTACATAGGGAAGAGGTTTCTTTTGTGGTACATGCTCCATAGAAACAGAACATCTGTCTCCAAGGACCATTAAATAAGCTGATGTACTTTTTAAAACAAATTTAAAATACTCTTAGAGATGTGGACAAATTGGAGGGCATCTAAAGGAGAGCAACAAAAATGAAAGTTTTGAAAATGTGGCCTATGAGGAAAGGTTTAAAAAAAAACTTAACATATTTAGTCTCGAGAAAAGACTGAATGAGGACCCGATTGTCTTCAACTATATTAAGGGTGGTTATAAAAAAAGAACAGCAACCAATTGTTCTCCATGGCCACTGAAAGGAGGACAAGCAGCAAATCAGCAGCAAGGGAGATTTAAGTTAGGTGGTAGGAAAAGCTAACGATAAGGATAGTTAAGTACTAGAATAGGCTTCCAGGGCAGGTTGCGGAATCCCCATCATTGGCGCTTTTGAAGAACAGATTAGACAAACACCTGGTTTAGGTATACTTCATCCTGTAACTGTAAAATGATCCTAAGCATGTTACCTAAGTACACCATATTCCAAGGGGAGTGGAGACATAACATTCAGTAACCCTTTCATGCAAAACTCAAAACCTCACACAAAGCTCAAGAGTTCAGGTGACAAAAGCACCAGTCAACACCCTAAAACTGTTTTTATGAAAATGCAGGTCACTGCAGTTACAACTGCTTCTGCACTGGCACTTTTCAGGAAGTCTCCCACTTGTACCCACATTTCTGGTGAACTCCACCAGTGCAAGCACTAAGAGTAGCTGCTAGGGTCTTTGTTTTGTTTAAGTCTGATCACATCAAGTCTAGATGAACTGTGATCAAGAATGCCAGCAGCAAGTCTGCATTAGAGTTTCCACCAATGCTAATATAATATTTCCTTGTTTATGTTGGTAATTTCTAGATCTAGGATTCTCTAAATCATTCAGTGACTTTGTTCTCCTAACTGCTGTGAACCAGAGCTGTTCAAGAAAAAAAAAAAAAGTGAGTTTTTCCTTTCTGGGCATGGACTTCAATGGGAACAGTAAACATCTGAAAATCCTACATGAGTACCTCCAATATAAATTCATTAGAAAGGGGTACGCACCTTGTATAAGAAGAGCGAATTTCCTCTCCTAGAAGCTATTTTTTGGCAGAGAATTCTGTAGCATTCAGTGAACAACTAACATGCTGGAGTTAACTGTCCCACTCTCTGAAAAGTTAACAATTCTTAGGTCTCACTCTGCATTTAGGTGGATGTGCGAAGCAATCCTAATAGATGCCGCTGATGTACCTGTGCAAAGCACATTTCAGGTGCAGTGTAGGTATAGCATAGCTGTATCTCTGAAGGTTAGTTGGCATCTATGAAGTGTGGCAGGGACTCTGTGTAACATGCATTGCACAGCAATTAGAACAGTATTCCACTGACTGGCAAACTGCCTCAATCCCATGTTCTAATTAAGAGTCCCATGCTGCAAATGTTACTTACAAACCCAGTAGTGCTGTCAAAGTGAGCCCTTAATCTATTTCTTAATGAGTTTGATTCTTTGGACCATGTACTGTAAGTATCTGAAGTTAAAAATTACAATTGCATTCTCCCAAAAGGACCTTTGCTTTTCCCTTCAGCAAAGTTCCTAGATTTGTTACTACTTGATCATTCTGCTACATTTAGCATTTAATGCTTATGCCTCAATTTGTTTCACGTAATGTTTCTGCAGAAATGTTAGTTTTCCCCACTGTGTAACATCTCCCCCTCTCATTCCTTGCTTTTTAGCTGCCTTTATGATTAACTTTTGTGACTAGTTAAAAAGTTAAGCTAGCTAACTTGAGTGGTACCTATTTTCTACTGAGGTTTGCAGATACATATTATATTAAGTTTGGGAGCATCATGTTCAGCTTGTATATAGAAGGGATGCCACAGAATGGACTGATTCACTAGACAATTTAAGCCAGTCTGCCTTCACGGGCAGGTTGGTATCAAGGTAAGGCCTTCAAGGTGAAATGTGATCTTAGATGATTTGGGACTGGCTATCAGCACTCATTCTTCATTGCTAAGATATGAATACGATTTCTAAGGAGTAATGTCAGCTTCAAAAACCACAACCACTGGATTAAAGGTGTTATACATTCAAAATATTTGCAAACCGGCCCTCTAAAGAATCAGAAATGGCAATTTGAACAAGTCATGCTATATAGCAAACACTGCACACTCCCTCAAATGTTTTATACACCATCTTCCACACAAGCCTAAGGGAATACTTAAAAAAAATTTATTGTAATATAATACAGTATGTCTTAGCAGAAAGCACAAAAACAAATAAAACAATGGCCAAAGTAAAACAAGTTCCCAAAAATCTAAAGAGTTCTCCAGAGAACATTTACACATATGCTGTAGATTTCACAGATATATACACGTTTCAACATCATGTTACTGTTTCCCACATCACTCAACTTTACTGGATTGCTGGAACAAGATTGAAGTCAGAGGTTTAACAAGTAAAAAAAGCAACTTAGAAGCCAATATGCCTCAGCTGGTCAAAAATGTGTCTCCCTCCCATCACGCTCTGAGGGAAAGGGGATTATCTTCTGATTTCCCCCATTCCCTCCACCCCAACACACCTTCCTTACAGACCTGTAATGTGGTAACACCCCTCTGTTCAAGGAGAAGGGCTGGCTTCAGCGGGGGGTATTGTTAATGCCAATCCAGTCATCAGGGTTGCTAGAGTAATTCAAGGCACTCATTCCAGTGCTGCCAGAGTTTTATACAGCACATTGCAATACTGCTAGATAGCCAGGCTGACCAATAAAGCATGTTCTTGGTGAAAGATGTGAAATGACTAGATTAGTCATCCCAAATCTCTTCATAATTTCCAGTTTAAGATTCATCTGTATTTCATTCTACAAAGACATGTACATGACGACAACTACATTCATCTATAATTTAGATAACACTTGACAGCAAATTGCTTTAATGTGTCCTTTAACCATTTTGCTGTATGTAGCAGCAGCTTTCTTGAAACAATGTTCAGGGGACACAATGAGGCTAATACAATTAACTCACAGTAAGGCCTTTCAGCCAGCTTCACAGTATAACAGTTGTCCTCAGACAATTGATCTTCCCATTGACCAGTAGTGTCTACAATGTATTACCAACTACAAGTGTTCTCGGCACAACGTTCACCAGTATGTCAATAAAACCCCTAAAAACAAAAAATTAAGTACCAACAGTAACACTGTTTGCTCTGGATGCATGTGGTATTCCACACTTAACTGTAAGCTTCCCCATAATATAAAATACCCTTTAGATTAAAAGGATTTCAAGATATTGCACTGCTGTATTATACTTTTGCCTCCCAATCTCATTCCAAAGATTTCTTATGAAACTGTAAACAAATAAACCAAGTGATTTTTGTACAGTCTTCACAAATTGTATATCTGCATTCCAAAAAAACTGGAATCCACTGAAACCTTCATTACAGATACAGTAGCCTAAGCACAGTGGAAGTTCTGTCCAGCTGCTTTCTTTGTACAGTAAGATTGTCCATTCTTCCAACATTCACACTTTAAGTTTCCTCTTCTGGTCAAAGTATGCATCAAATCTTGACAGCGCATAGTCCTAAATAAAATGAGGTAAATAATCAATTTCCTGAGAAACAGTGACAGTTGTGTGCTGCCATGATGTACATTCATTCTTGTCTGCAGTTTGGGAGACTATATAATATGAATATAGATAGAAATATTTCGATATTATCCTCCTCGCTTCACCTTCAAGAGTATTTGGGGACAAAGGAAGAGACTTTTTAAACAAGTTAAAGTGTCACGTTAAAGTCTAATTTCAGGTTTAGTAGCATTTCTGCATCCTATCTAACCCTTGGCTATTAGTTTCATGTCAGTTAAGTTTGTCTAGCAACAAAGCAGGGCTTATAGCCAATGCTATAGCACTATTCAAGTGTACTAAACCTTTATCAGCAGTTTCTCCCTATAAAGTAACTAAACAGTAATATCTTTACCATTCTTAGTCCCAGAGAGGAAGCCTTACTAGAGAAGTTTGAGAAGAAAGCTATGGAAAGATTTGTTTTTCCTCCAAAACAAAACTAGTATTAAAACTAAAATCCACTGTTCATGTGTTAGTCCGGTACTGTGGAAGGCAGATGCTGCAACCCTTTCAACTACAGGAGAATACGTCTGGAAGTGTGAAAGAATCATCTCACTGGCGAAAAATAATTCCACTTCTGTTCACTACTGGACAGACTATTAGCAGCAGTTATTTATATTACCACCTGTAGTATCATTTGACTTAGGCATGGTAACTGTACAGGAGGATGGACAATTATACTCAGAAGAAAACTAAGTGGTG